AACGCGATCTCTATTATCGCAAATCAGTTTCCAGATTCGCAACGCGAACTTCGACTATCGCATTGCGATCTTCCAAATTCGCGTTGCGATTTACTTATTCGCATTGCAATAGTCCAAGTTCACTTTGCGATAGTCGGAGTTCGCGTTGCGATAGTCTAAGTTCACGTTGCGATAGTCGAAGTTCGCGTTGTCAAAAATCGCAACGACTGGTGGTATTGCATTTGTTTCTTAAGAGTTTTCTCTAAAAATATAGTATTCGCGCGGTCATGTCGAAGACACGAATTACTATTACCATTACCATGACCACGAGACGAGACGGCGGCGGCGGCGCGAGAGTCCCCCTTGTTCTCTATCACTCAACAAGGAAGTAGGAAAGCCAAGCCTTAAATATCATTCCCAATAGTGTTTCCAAGATAGTCTAAGTTCACGTTGCGATAGTCGAAGTTCGCGTTGTCAAAATCGCAACGACTGGTGGTATTGCATTTGTTCTTAAGAGTTTTCTCTAAAAATATAGTATTCGCGCGGTCATGTCGAAGACACGAATTACTATTACCATTACCATGACCACGAGACGAGACGGCGGCGGCGGCGCGAGAGTCCCCTGTTCTCTATCACTCAACAAGGAAGTAGGAAAGCCAAGCCTTAAATATCATTCCCAATAGTGTTTCCAATACTGTGGGATTGAGCATTACCAACACTTTTTCCAATACTATGTGATTATTCAGAAACAATTAACAATCATGCACCTTAAAACAACTGAATCAGCAACCAATTGCATTAGTATTATACGATTAAATATGTCATAATTAAAAGCCAATCTACAATCACATAATTTGATATCTAATGTAATTAAAAAAATCTCTTATAATTGTAATTATGGGCACAAAAAAATATGAAAACTAAAAGTTATGTTCTGATTATCGCAATTTTAAGCAAAACATTAAAAAAATTACATCACTCGCGAGAATAAAAAAAATTGTTATCGTGCAATTACAATCAATTGAAAATAAATTAGAATTGCATGAAAACTAAATGAACCACAAATATTTTTCATACAAATACTAAAGTCATTAACTATAATTCACAAATAATATCACTATTTAAGGCTCAATTCCACATAGTATTGGGAACAAGTGTTGGTAATGCTCAATCTCACATAGTATTGGAAATACTATTGGGAATGGTATTTAAGGCTTGGCTTTCCCACTTCCTTGTTGAGTGATAGAGAACAAAGGGGACTCTCGCACGCCGCCGCCGCCGCCGTCTCATCTCGGGCCGTGGTCGTGATCGTGGTAATATGTGTATTCGACACGGCCGCGCGAATACTATATTTTTAGAGAAAATTCTTAAGAAACAAATACAATACCACCAGTCGTTGCGATTTTGGACTATCGCAACAAATTTGAAAAATCGCAGCGCGAACTTCGACTATCGCAATGCGAATATGTAAATCGCAACGTGAACTTCGACTATCGCAACGTGAACTTGGACTATCGCAACGAATTTGAAAAATCGCAATGCGAACTCCGACTATCGCAACGCGAACTTGGACTATCGCAATGCGAATATGTAAATCGCAACGCGAATTTGGAAAATCGTAATGCGATAGTCGAAGTTCGCGTTGCGAATCTGGAAACTGATTTGCGATACTGGAGATCGCGTTGCGAATTAGAGATCGTATTGCGATTTTGTTGGTCATTTTGGCAAATACAAAAAAAGTTGGTCAAAATCGTATATTACAAGGCATTTTCGGTCACTGAGGTTATTTTCTCTTTAAAATTTGTAATGTGACACGGGAATTTATTTTATGTAATTGCAAATATGAATACTGAATAGAGGTAGTAATCAGATTGTTTGAATCGAGTTTAAATAAAAGTTATTTTGAATCTAAATTATATCTGATTTAGTTGATGTCAAATGAATTCATTTTTTATTTAATTCAAGTTTATAGTAAATATGTTTAGTTTAATCAAATATTGAGTTAGGTTAATATCAAATCGATAAATTTTCAAGTCGTGTCAATAACATATCGACTAGTTTTTTTTATTATGGCTAAAATTTAGATCTTCAGGTTAATTTGGGTTAAGTTATGAGTCCAACCAAATATATATAATTATTGATATCTATTATTGTAAAACAAGTCTCTTATTGTTTATTAATTTTATCATTTAGGTTTAATTTCAATTTTTAATTGTTCAATATTTCGAATTCAATCATTATTAGAATGATAATTTAATCCAAATTTGATCTATAAAGTGTGTTATAGTTTGGGACATGAATTTTGTATTGTTCCAGTCTGAAAATTCTATGATACAACCTATTTAGTGAAGAAATAAAATTTTCAATTATAAATTTTATTTTTGATTCAAGTTTTCAACTAGAGATTTAATGTTTACATATATAATATATTTTTTGTTGACATTCTTTTTTAAGAATAATACAATTGTTGAGGAATCGAAAAAGAAAACGAAAGAACACAAGAATTTTAACGAGGTTCGACAATGTGCTTACGTCATCGGTGCCTAAGCGGCGCTAGAAGTTTTATTCAATATCTCATAGATTTAGATTACATCTCTATTTATAATAAAAAACTTAGTACATAAAGGTTTAAGATTTGAATACCATAGATGTAAGATGTTTGAACTTTCATTATCAAACTATTAAGAATATACAACGTTGCTAAAAATATATAATAAATAAAAATAAGTTATTCGTTCACTTTGATTCAATTATTGGGATAAATCATGTCGACATTTTATTCAAATCAGACTTTGGGATAAAGCCCTATTCCAAGACATTTCAACATGTCTAGGAGTAGATTTTGGAATATATGTATGTCTTGGAAATGATAATCATTCACTCGGAGACCTGAGGTTAGGGATCTCCAAGGACCTCTTGAAAAAGTGTGGCGTGTTTGTCGATCCCCTCTCTCTCACGGGCAGCTCATTCATCATCCATTACAAGCCCTCTAGTATCTCATTATTCGGCGCAAACACAGCCTTATATCTATCTCCAACTTTTTTACATCGTCATGACGTGATGACAATAAAACCAATAAAAATCTAAACTTAAAAAATAAAATAGAAATAATATATTTTATTAAAAAAACAATACTAGTTTTTAGGATAAATTACACGAATGATCCATCAATTATAGAACGATACTTTGTTAAGTTATTGACTATTAGAAGTTACAAAGTGGTATATGAATTATGTGATGTTTTGTCAAGTAATTTAACTATTAAAAATTATAAAATAGTCACCCAATTAATCATATGTTCTAAACTAATCATTTTCCATTAAAAAATTGATGATATTTCAATTAGACGTTAACCTGTTGAATGCGATATGATAAAATATGATTTCATAATTGTTTCAAGTGTATTTTATGGATAGAATTTTCATTTATATTATGTCGTCGAGTCAATGCTTGAGACATTATGTTGTTGAGCCAGTGCTTGAAAGCAATGACGACGCCAATAAATATTATTAAAATATGGTTTTATCATATCTTAGTATCATACTTTTTGAAAATTTCCAAAAATAACAACCTATTTAAAACTTTAAATTTTTAATTAAATTTTTATTCATTACAATTAACTATATATTTTATATAATATATTTAATATCTCATCTAATTAAATTATTATAGATAATATATTAATATCATATTGAATATAATAATAAGATATGTTTTTTAACAAAAAATATATTTTTATTAATAAAAAGACAAGGTATATAAACGTAACACAATCCCATCATGAAAACTTAAAAGAATGTGAATAAAAATAAAATCAAAACCAAAACATTTCATTGGATACCTGCTTTATCTTCCAAGAAAAGATTAGCAATTGTATAAATAATATCATTGTCTGTATTCAAATTTAGATGTAATATTTAAAAAGACGTGAAAATTAAGAGTACTAATCTCACATATTTTTAAGTAAATAATTCTGAATGCATTGATAAATTATAGTATAAGAAAATCTAACCATACGAGTTCGTAAACCTTTCATGATAAATATGTCATGATGAATACAATACAATACGCCAAACTATCATTATGATAAATAAAACAATATCATAAAGGTAAACAAAATAAACGGTGCAAGAATATATAGAAATAAAAAACGAAAAGTATTTTCATTTTAATTTCAAAGAAAGGACCCAAAATTATCTTTAGGAGATAAGTATAAATAGTAAAATATACAGCTAATTAAATATATTTTTAAAAAGTTTATATTTAATGCATTGATATTTTTTTAAAAATTTAATATTATTTTATTAATTTAGTAACGATATGTCTTGATATAAATTATTAAGTATATATATGGATGAAAGAAATATAATTGACGAATTTTGATTTGATTTAATATGATAGAGTTAGATCCTTTTATTTGTAAATTTTAAGTTTTGAGTCGATTTTTTCTTAAATTCTATCATGTCACATTAGGTTTAGTTTTGAGAGTTCTACCACGATATAATTATAAAAATATTATTTTATGTATTTATATATCATTAGCTAAATTTTGATAAAAAATATATATATGTAAAAAATTATCATATAAGATTCTAGAATTATAGTATTAAAATAAATAAAATTTATATTTTATTTGATTATTTTTTTATTTTAATAAGTAATAATAAAAGAATTAAAAAATATGTCAAAAAGAATCTATAGTATTTTTATTTAATTTTTAGAATGATTTTAGGATAGGTAAAATATTTTTAAACTTGAATTGGATCAATATTATATTTTATTATTATAATATCGAAGCAGATTGAGAATTATATACAAATCTTAAAATAATAATTAAATATTGAGACTTGTTTCCAACTTTTTTGTCCCACTTTGAGAAAGCAAAAGCAGGGAAAAGGCAAAGAAATAAGAAAGAAAGCTCAAAATAAAAATAAGTAAAAAATTCTCAAGACCTCAATGATTCAAATTCTCTCATAGAATAGAACTTTTAGAAAGAGAGTCTTCTTCTTCTCTCTTACCTCTCTTCTTAAAAACCGGGTATCTGCAACTCTCAAACTTTCTTCTACAATTACTTGTTTGGGGAGCTATCTTCAACAAAATAGAAAGTGAAAGAGTGAGTTTTCAAGTGACTGAGTTTTCAAGTGACTAACTCCATAACGCCATCACCATGAACCGAGAAGTGTTGCAGAGCTCACCGGTGCAACAGATGATGGCCGGAAACCACCCTGACTGGTGGAGCATCCACACCATGCGGTCATCACCAACTCATCAACAGTTACCGTCTCCTTTCTTCTCCCAGCCGCCGCCGCCGTCTGCTTTCTTCCCTCAATTCATCCCCATCTCCACTTCTTCTTGGCATGATAACCAGGAGCTTCCCGAGTCATGGACTCAACTACTCTTGTAACTCTCCCTAACCCTTTCTAGACCGTTAACAAAGCTTCATCTTCAATTCAGATATGATCGAGTTAATTTTACGTTACGTTCGTGTTGATTTGTAGGGGAGGGTTGGTGGGAGAAGAAGAAAGGCGAAGCATTGCATTACACCATGCGTCAACTGCTAACTCTATTGTAGATACAAATGTTTATGCTCATCAGATAATGGCTGCTGCTGCTTCATCACCCAAGTCTTGTGTAACAACAACAAGTTTCACCAATAACATGTTAGATTTTTCTGGTAACAAAGCCGATGAAAGGCAGCCACCTATAGATCGATCTTCTGAGGTACTTTAGGGCTTCTAATACATGAACATAGTAATATTCATATTGCTGTCCAATCAGAATTCTCATATTTAATCATTATTTTGTGTGTGTGTAGTGTAATAGCAGCACTGCAACTGGTGGGCCATTGAAGAAAACTAGGGTTCAACCTTCTGCAACTCAATCTACCTTCAAGGTATGAAACTGAAATCCTTTCAACATTTCTCTCTTCTCAACTAGACTCGACTCGGCAGTCCAAACACAAATTGCACGCACACTCACAAGCAAAAGAAACTGTTGTCCTCGTGCGATTGTCCATTTCTATAAGGATGATTATTCTCTTGGCTTTGCTGTGGGTACCCTTTCATTTTCTATTGACGTATGAAAAAGAGAATATTACAGGTGAGGAAGGAGAAGCTGGGAGATAGAATTACAGCACTCCACCAGCTTGTTTCACCATTCGGGAAGGTAAATCTAAAGATTTTTAACTTTGTTAATTGTAAATATTGTGAAGAATCTAATTAAAGAAAGTTGAGAGGCGAGCAAAATGACACTGGAGGGTTGTGGTTCTTTCACTTTTGCAGACTGACACAGCCTCTGTCTTGTTAGAGGCTATTGGGTACATTAGATTCCTTCAGAGTCAAATTGAGGTGATGTTTCTTTCTTCCTCTCTCTTCCTTTTTGCAAAGAACTGTGAAGCCAGTTTAACAATATTACTTTATATATTGAAGTCCTAAATATTATTCATATATATATATATATATATTACATGTAGGCTCTCAGCTTACCGTACCTGGGCAGTGGATCGTCTGGAAACATGAGGCAGCAACAACAGTCTGTAAGAAGAAAAAACTATATCTTCCTTAATTTCCCAGAAAATAAAAGGACACATTTATCTCTATTTCAATCTCTCTGCATGTGAATATACATGTCGATGGATCTTTTGATTATGAGTTCAGTTGAATACTTAACAATTAGGTCTTATGTTCTCGGGATGGTACTGCGTTGAAATGTCTCGAATGAAAGGATATGATCTGAAGATCGTGTAGAGCGTAGAATATTTATTGTGATTTAACTTTTTGATGCTTAAGCTATGCACAATGATCCGATTGAAGTGCTTGGTGATGGCGGATACCTGATCGCAGAACGTGGAGAACTTGGTGGATTTGATGGGGTAATTGGAAAAATGATGGCGCTATTGGAGAGCAAAGAGCGTTTAGGGATTCGAACCCACGCCAAATCTCAAGGGATAGTGCATGGGATCGATCCCCCACTTAGGCAATTTGCCCTGAGTTTATCCAATTGCCTCCAAACTCCATTGACTCTAAAATTCTGTCACCGTCATCTTCAAGTCTTTAATTGGATTATCGTTGAGACGCCTCAGCGTCGGAAGATAAGTCACAATAAACACTCTACATCCTACATGATCTCTGGACTATGCACTCCCTCTTCAAAGCGTTCTTCGAGACCCACTTTGAGGATAGATAAACAAAACTTTGGACATTTCACGAAAGTACCGTCGTATGAATATAATACTTGGTTGTTTCGAGATTTCGACCAAACAAAAAATAAAAATTAGGAGATCCCTCAACAATATGCCTTTTCATGAAAATTACACTTATTAATAAGATTCAACTCGACTCAAGTTAGGCTTTGTTATTATCCTTTTTGTGACTAACAAAAACTGTGTTCTTAGACTAATATATCTATATACATTTGTGAGGTAGGATTCAAATACATTGTGTAAATTTTTTAAATTTTTACATTAATTTAAAATCATTAGATGAGTTTACAGTGGTATATGATATTAATGGACATTAAGATTATCAATAAATTAATGAATATCGGATTTGATGCATGCTATTTTTTATTTTTGTGGATTCTAGCTGTTGAATGAAAACTGCACGAAGAAGAGGAAAGGTGGTCCAGATGATCAGCAGGTAATTCTTTAACACTTAACACTGTGTCGTGTACGCATATATACATGTTTTACATATATGAAAGCAACAAAATTTCCCTTTGCATTCTCTAGGATTCTAATGAAGACCCAAAGAAGGACCTCAAGAGTAGGGGGCTTTGCTTGGTTCCTGTATCGTGTACACTTCAAGTCGGGAGCGACAACGGAGCCGATTACTGGACTCCTCCTCCTTTCGGCGGTGGTTTCCGATAGATGTTGGCTTATTAGGGTTATCGAAAAAGGGTAGCATTGCACACACATGGGAGCTTCATGTGGGAAACGATATAACATCACGAGCAGTCAATCTGCTAAAGAAAAGTTTCAAAGGTCGATTGCTCATGATGCTATACACAATATGTTGTTGTTAATTTTCATTTTGGACTACTTCTAGATGATGATGTGTGCTAATTGCTAACTGCCTACTTCTACGATTTAAGCTTATTCCTACATCTTTGATCTTTAATTAACCATTTGCTTGCTTAAATTCATAAGTAGTTTCGTTGTACGACAACTTAAATTAAGAATATTTTAAGATGGTTTGCAATCTAAAATGTTATCATATTTAACTTAAAAATGCTATACAATTTGTAACATTTTCAGTTGCAACCAAAAGAGTTGTATTGTGGCGACGAGTTTAGGGTTTACAACTGAAAAAGTTGTACAATTTGTAGTAATTTCGGTTACAATCGAAAATGTTATGAAGAAAATAATATTTTTAGTTTCAACTTAAAATGTACTCTATCCAACTTAAAATGTTACGCTTTTGGTAAAATTTTCAGTTGATACTGATTTATGTCATTTTTAGACTTGTATTAATAAGTTGTATTTTAGATTCTCCCTGAATTCATGTACTAGTATGAATGCATGTATGAAATAACATTTTTGGTGGTGCATTCTTAAACTCTAATGAGATTCTAATATGAATCTGAAAATCCAACCGTAATCAACTTAAAGATAAATCCAACCAACTTGACCAAGAAAATAACTTGAAATAAAATTGTACAAGTAACCCTAACTCAAAATGACATCAACTTAGAATAACTCGAATCTAAAGTGACCCAAACGAGCAACCCAAATTAGAACGAGAGATCTAAATGACAAAACTTGAAACGACCTGACCTACAAAAGCTCACATTAGGTTTTCTGATTACAATAATAGCACAAAATGCAACATTTCTGCAGAGAATCTCTTTAACAATGTCTGGCGTCAACCTAAAGAAACATTCCCTTTGGATGGTGTAAAGTTAATGCATAAAAAAGACAGCGTCAATTGCTTTGGATATTTTCAAACTATGAGCTGAATTCTATATTTGTCTTTAAACTTCAAAATATTTCAACTAAATCCTCAAATTAACGCATTGTTCCATCAATGTAGTTATCGACTTTTACGTTTGATTGGAGTGTTTAAGAATTTAATGGAAATTTTTTAAAGAATTTAGAATTTGGCCCATAGTTTGGGGTTATGATGAATTAACCCGAAAAGAAAAGGACCAATGCTTCAAATATTCGCAAATTATAATCTAGGTTTTAAACTGGTTCTAAACTTCATTATAGTCGTTAATGTATTACTATTGTATTAATTAGGTCCTTCCATTTATCTAATTGTAATCTTAGGCGTTAAATACTAGTTCGGAGAGCATTTTTCAATATGTGGATTAAATAATCCAAATATTATATATTTTTTCATCTATAAATAAGAGGATAATTATACATTTATACATATTTGATTTCATATCCTCCCATATAATAATCAAATTAAACTCAATCGACACCTTAAAAACTATCTGCGTTTTAAAGTAAATATATTCTGATTGTTTTCTCCTGGATTTAGAACTCTTGGGCTTCAATTTTGGGCCACGGCTGTAGGCTCCTTACCAGTTCTTGAGTACGTTATCCACTTCGTAAACGACGCCGTCTCTCTTCGTTCTTCCTACACGCTTGAATGCTCTATTATTCGAAAGTCGGAAAAGACTCTGAACCTGAAAAGAATCTCACGGATAGGCAAAGGAAGGGTAAAAATGGTGCATCCACTACCAAAGAGCTGGAGCATCCACACCCGACCCGAGATTACCGCCAAGTACGAGATCCTGGAGCGCGTTGGTTCAGGCGCCTACTCCGACGTGTACAGGGCGCGTCGGCTCTCCGACAACCTCATAGTCGCCCTCAAGGAAGTCCACGACTACCAATCGGCGTTCAGGGAAATCGAGGCCTTGCAAATGCTTCGAAATTGCCCCAACATCGTCGTTTTGCACGATTACTTTTGGCGGGAAGACGAGGACGCCGTGCTCGTCTTGGAGTTCTTGAGGACCGATTTGGCGGCGATTATCCGCGACTGGAAAAAGAAGGGAGGCGGGGTCCGAGTCGGCGAAGTTAAGAGGTGGATGCTCCAGGTTTTGTGCGGGGTTGACGTTTGTCATCGGAATATGATCGTTCATCGGGATTTAAAGCCTGGGAATTTGTTGGTTTCCGATGATGGGGTTCTTAAGTTAGCCGATTTTGGCCAGGTATATTTTATTAGATTTTCTTAGCTTTAATTTTACTTCGTTTCTGAGCTAATGTATGTTGTTTTTTAATTTGCATCTTATCATATAATTAATTGAATGTGAACCTTTGATAAGTGAAGTGCGGTGATCTTGGATTAAGTTTATTTCAATCGGAAAGTTGACATCTGCAATTTCTAAGTGTTCAAGATAAAAGCTCGATGATCAAGTAAGCTTGTATAGATCAATGTGGAGCTTGCTAATAATTTCACTTGGAATTTCCAACTGTTCAAGATAGTAGCTCGATGATCAAGGAAACTTATATAAATCAATGAGCATGTAGCAAGTGTCTAACCCGGCTGGTTGAGTTTTTAAGCTTCACGATTAGTGAATAAAATACTAATCTACTAGGATTATGCTGAACTTCTTTTTGTTCTTGAACAATGTAGGAGATGCTTCTGATCATGTGATCTAATTCATAAGCTAGTGAAGTCTCTGTGAAAAACCGTATGCTTTAGGTTGATGGGGTTCTTCTTCTTCTTCTTCTTTTTTGAAATAGAGAACACTCCATTTCAAACTTTAGCCATAGTGTGATCGGTACATTCAATGCCATCGTGTGCAAGTGCATTGGCCATCTTATTCACGGAACGCGGTGCATAATGAAAAGAAAGGCATGTTGGTAGGAAAGTATAAGAGCTTCAATGACCGATTGTGCCACCAAAATGTTTTCATTGGTTGCTCTTGAGTCTTGGATAGTGTTATTTCAAGCCATTTTTAACTTGGCCCTCTCGGTCTTGAGTAATAATTCCAGTAACTCCTATTTTTGTAGCTGGAATAAAAGGGGCATCACGTTGATGGGATTCTTTGAATTACTGCATTACCCGCCCGGGGGGTTTTCATCCAAATGCCACATTTGTTGTCATAGATGAGGTGATGACATTTGCATCCGTTACAGGTGTTGATGCAGATTCTATTAGACTATTGCTTTGTTGTTTGAATTGCAACAATTTCATTAGGAAGTCCTGTTGATTTTCTGATAATTGCGAGAAATATCAGCATATTGGCCCATGCATTATCAGAAAATGATGGTTTATTTCGGTGTCAATAAACAGTTAATTCAGGCACAGTATGTAAAGATTTGACACTTACTTTTCTTGTTTCTATTTTGAGTAATATAACATGTTTCCAGTTATTTAAATTTTCTGAAATTGGTGTCGGGTCACATTTTGTATTCCATTAATGCTTTCCTGTTTCAAACCAGGTACAGTCAAAAGGGAAGAAAATTAGTCTCCATTATGGTACGGATGTCTCCTTAGCTGCTAGAGCTTTCCAACAACTTAGTTTGAGTAGTACTAGTTAGTGTTCACGAGTTTGAAACAGGCTTCCTAGCATGTTATTGTGTTTTTCTCAAGAATGCAAAGTACTATCTGATTTAGTGTGTGAATAAACGTGTAAATTTGTTTTACTTGTCATCTTCCATGTGTCATACATATGTTTGGCTTGGTTTTCAGGCAAAGATACTCATGGAGCCTGGATTCGATGGTGTTAACAATAACCAACAACTGGTGGTTGAGCAAAACACGAGATATCAGGAAAATGTAACTCCACCATTAGATGTTGTCCCTGATGCTCACAGTTTGCCAGATCAAGGATTGAATAAGCAAGTGGTGGAAGATACGAACAGAGAAGAATATCTTAGACAGTTTGTTGAGCTCAAGGCTAAACGACATGACATGGATGAAACTAATAAAGAAACAAATACTAATGACGGATACTCATCTTGTCTTGCAACAGGTACCATAAGTGACGTTGACGATGATCCTCTCAAGAGTTCTTACTCGTACGAGACTGAAGAGGGTGGGGTTGACAAAGACGGTGCTCTCACATCTTGTGTTGGTACTCGCTGGTTCAGAGCCCCAGAACTACTCTATGGATCGATGGACTATGGACTGGAGGTAGATTTGTGGTCATTGGGTTGCATTTTCTCAGAGCTTCTAACCCTTGAGCCGCTTTTTCCTGGGATTTCTGACATTGATCAGCTTGGCAGAATCATCAATGTTTTGGGAAATTTGACTGAAGAATTCTGGCCAAGCTGTTCTAAACTTCCTGATTACAAAATAATTTCTTTCGCCAAGATCGAAAATCCGATTGGTTTGGAAGCCTACCTACCCAATAGGACACCAGATGAAATCTCCATTGTGAAAAGACTTGTTTGTTATAACCCAGCTAATAGAGCTACTGCAATGGAGCTTCTGAATGACAAGTATTTCAATGAAGAACCTATGCCACTTCCCATTTCTGAGCTGCATGTACCTCTCACAAAGAATGACCATGAGGAGGATTCACCCGGTGGGTGGAATGATTATGATGACATGGGATCCGACTCTGATTCCGGTGACTTCGGCCATTTTAAGGTCGTGACCACAGGCTTTGGCGTTTCCATACAATTCTCTTGAGCTTACTCTGTGTTGAGGTATATTGAATGCTTAAATTATATGTTCCATTTAGGTCGAGGTATAGTTAGAAAGTTAAAAATCTGAAATTAGAGATGAGAATCATGAATCTGTGAGAAATAACTAGTTCCATTGAGGACAAAACTTGATTCTGTAATTACTGTTTGTAAATCTCCAAAACAATGGATTAACTTAAGTGGCTTGAAATGGGCAAGCTTGAAAGAGTGACAGTAAAGTGAGTTTTTTTTTTTTTTTTTATAAATAGGAATTCATAACATGGGTTATGCACTTTACCCATCATTTCACTTTCATTATGGATCAAAATTTGCTGTTAATCTTTCTACTATGCATATATTCATCTTAGTATTCAATCGGGACTTAAATTAATCAAAACTCAAAATGTCCTGAACTCGAAACTTATTCGAATACAAAATATTATAACTCGAAGGTGTTTATGGGAAAAGTTGACCAAGTGCACGTTGAGTTTATAACTGGAAAATATTTGTATAAAACCTGTTAATATCTGTAAATAATAAAAACTTATTATTATTTGAAAAAGTATTTATATTAGTTTTAATCTAATATTTATATGTTTTCTTTTTATTAAAATTTAAACATAAACCATTTAGCCCATTTTTAATGTATATATTATATTATTATAGACTTAATTTATACATAATATAAATTAAATTAAATATAAAGATAATATTATATAAACTTGAAAAATGTGTCGCATTCTAACATTTGAATGTTTTTTTTTGTGTGAAAAGGTTTCTTCCATGGTTTCTCATGGTCCCCCGGTTGTCGAGCTCCATTTTCGGAGTTGAAAACGGTTAAGGTTTCTTAAAATCCGGTTGTTTAGCTGTCAAAATCTTAGTTCATTAGGATTTGATTGCTATTCTAAATTCTTGAGTCATTCTCGGTGTTCGTCTTCAGCAAACGAAGTTGAAGGTAAAAGCTATCTTTGTTATCATTGTAGTTTATCAATCGTGTTTTATGTCTTGCATGATCTTCTTAAGGGAAGTTGCCGATGGAATGATGAAGAGAGAGGGATGGTAGCTTTAGTGATCTTTCAAGATTGGATGGATGGGAAGGTAGTTCTCGAGGAAGGAGAGGAAGTGAGGTATAGGGATTGGGAATGGTTTGAAAGTATGAGAGTTATGGGAAAACTGGCTACAGATAAAGTTTTAGGGAGGAGTTCAGTGTCGGAAATTTCAGTTAGTTCAGATAAAGAGTTTGAAGAAGATGACCGGAGTCGGGCTCCAAAAAATAGTTGGGGTGTTGTTGGAGTGACTAGAGGATGCCACATGATTCTACAGTTACTGTTCGGAATTATAATCAGGTTTTGGGGTGGTTCGGTTATGTTCAACAAGAAGTTAAGGGAGAAAGTGTGGTTTGGTTTGTGAATGAACTAAGTCACTATAGAAGAAATATTCAATCAAGGAAAATCTGGAAATGGGTGATTAAAGTGTCAAGTCAGGACTCCATCAAGTCTATGAGATTAGATTGGGAATGGGGATTTCATTGGAAATTCTCATTATGGAAATTTCTAAGAAGATATTTGTATGACATGAGGTCTAGGCGTGGGGGAAGGATACTCTATCACTTACCTCAATGGAAGCAGAATGTTCAGCGGGGAGTCGTCTGTCAACACGGGATGGGACTGGGATATTTAATGTTCTGCTTGGTGCGGACAGCGGGTGTAACCGGCAGGGGGCTAGTTCACGTGTTATACTATTCAGGGCAGATAGCAGGTGGGACTAGTGGGGAGCACGCAGGTGATGGAAGGCCAGAGACAGACCTGGTAGAGCAGGTGGAAAATTACGGCTGCTACAGCGCGGCCAACTGCTACGAACATTGTTCGAACAGTCATAGTTACTGGAAATTATATGAGATAATGGTTGTTTTTGGGGAAATAGTGCATTTATATTTATTTAATAGTAGTATCATTTTGGAGAGATTTTTTAATAGCCTATGTGGAGTAGGTAAATGGTGTAAGAGGAGAATGTCACTTCGGAGTGGCTATTGTCAAGAGGGTAAGGCTATCTTTCGGGTATGGGATAAGAGACTAAGGGGAGAGAATAGGAAGAGATATCCTATTGATAAGATAGTACCTAGGGTGGACAAGTGTTGTAAGTGGGTAAAATTACATCGGGTTTCACATAGTAGTGTAGGTGGGGTTGCTTGTTGTGATAGGGGAAAGAGATTAAGTGAAGGAAGGAAGTGTTGGTTTTCACACATTGTCAAAAGAAACCATTCAAACTTTGTCTTTGTGTTTCGAAGTGGTACTTCTATTGCGTTGGTTATCAAAAAAGAGTGAAAGAGTGTTGTATTGCTCTCATCTTCAATTACTCATTTGTCTAGCATAATGTCGGAGGAGGTAGCGAATTTGATGAAGCACTTGAAATTCACTGAGGAGGATTCGGAGGACATTTATCCACCACGAGTCATTACTGAAGATGATGTGATGGAAATGGATAAGTGGATCGTAGCAAGGATAAATGGCTACAAGAGAATTGATAGCGAGGTGGTGTTGTGGGTCTTTCGATCGATTTGGGGTCATGCTATACTCTTGGATTCGTGCATTTTGAAGGATAATATGTTCCTCTTCAAGTTCAAGACGCTATCAGATAAGCATGCCATTTTGAAATACACCCCTTGGAGTTTCGAAGGAACTATTTTGGCCATTGCCCACTTTGATCCTAATTTGAGTTTGGAAAAATTTGATTTTCGGCCCCTTGGAGTGTGGGTGAAAATTTATGAGCTCCCTTTGGGGTACATGAAAGTTGAGACAGCAGAGAAGATTGGAAATAGAATTGGGAAGACTATTGCTACCGACACAAGATCTGGAGAGGGAAGAATGGGCGATTACCTTCGTGTTAGGGTGGAGATTGACTGTTCTAAACCTTTACGAAGATGTGCTAAGATGGGAGTGCTCGCAAATAGAGAACCGAGGAAGTGTTTGCTAAAGAACGAACGGTTGCCTTCATTTTGCCATAGGTGCGGCATTATTAGACATGTGCTTACGGAATGTCTGGGATTCTTGGAGTAACTGCATCAACCTCTATAATTCGGGGAATGGCTTAGAGTGTCTCCCATCAAGAATCATGTTGAAAGTAGCACCAGAAGAAGAGAAGAGATTATCTATGCTAAAGGGGAGAATATTGAAAGGTCATTGACTAGCTCGGTGAATAGTCCTCTCTCGGATCGGGGTACTAGGTCTCCCTTAGGAAGACCATGGATGCCAGGACGTGACTTGTTGCACTCGAACAACTCCAACTGTGAGGATGATTCAGATTCGACCGACCCAACTGGTCCAGATAGCTCTCTCCCGCGAACATTCCCGGAGGTTTTCATTGCGCGTGACCGATTGTTCTTAGAATAGCAGTTATAAAACCAAGATACCAGTGTGAGGGTCGAGGTTGGTTCTTCTAGTTCGGGAAAGACGAAGAATGGGGAGACGAGTAAGGGAAAGCAGAAAATTAAGCGAGTCAATCGTCAAGTGGTGCATATTTCAGACTCCACTTTGAACTCGAAGGTGGGTACTAGTGAGGAAGATGACCCTAGTGAGATTCCGGAGGAATGTGAATGGGATATTATTTTAACGGCGGTGGCTGAGGCTCAGCCCCGCCAGGAGCCATGACGATAATGTGCTGGAAATGTCGGGGACTTGGGAACCCTGCGATAGTTCGGGAGCTTAGGAGAATGATCTCCGAAAAGGACTCAATGTTGGTTTTTGTTTCTGAAACAAAGTTGCGGAAAAATAAAACGGAGGCTATTAGATTGGCTACAAAGATGTTTGGCTTTTTTTCAGTAGAAAGATTGGAACATTGTGTAGGATTAATGATGCTTTGGAAGGAGGGTTTAGATGTTTCGCTCCAGAGTTTCTCTAATCTTCATATTGATGTGGAGGTTTTTTGGAAGGAGAAAAAATTTCGATTTACGGGGTTTTATGGGCGCTGTGGGTGGTCGGATAAAAAGCATAACTGGGAGATGATTTCTCGTTTGGCCTCTACCTCTTCTCTTCCTTGGTGCTTGGGAGGTGATTTTAATGAAATTATTCATGCAGACGAGAAGAGAGGAGGAAGGAAATCGGTGAGGGTTCATATGGAGGAGTTCCAACGATGTATTCGTGATGCCGATGTGTGGGACATTAGACCTAGGAGTAGGTGGTTTTCTTGGGCTAGTGGTACCCGCGCTAAGACGTTTGTGCGCGAGAGAATTGATAGATATGTTGCGAAGATTGATTGGAGGCTTTTGTTCCCGGAGTGTTTTGTGGACACGGTCCCGATGGCATCGTCCGATGATTTGACGATATTGTTGAGTTTGGAGGGCGCTACTACGATCAGCTCTCCTAGGAGGGATTACTTCAAATTTGACGCGTGTTGGGCTAATGAAGATCAATGCAGGGATATTTGCATCGGGTTTGGGAGAACAACGAAGATTCTTTCTCTGTCAAAGTAGGGAAGATTGGGTCTACGCTAGGAGATTGGCAGCGATTGAGAATAAGTAAAGCCAAGAGGGATGAGAAGCGTTTAAGGGGATCTATCCTTAGGATTGATTCGGGCCCTATCACGGACGAGTTGTGTGAACTTCGGAGGAAAGTTATGGCGGACCTTAAGGAGGTGATGGATAAAGATGAGATGTTTTGGCTTCAAAGATCTCAAGTTACGCTTAAGGATGGTGATCGTAATTCTTTCTTTTTTCGTGCAAGAGCCAATGGGCGGCGTAAAAAGAATTGGATTGAGGGGTTGGAAAGTGAGGGAGGGGTTTGGTGTGATAGGTTGGAGGACATTTTTAGTGTTGCTTCGAGCTACTTTGCCTATCTCTTTCGTTCTTCTGAAGCGACCCCCGACGAGGAGATCCTTCAAGCCATTGATCGATGTGTTTCGCCATGTGATAACGAGATGCTTTGCCGAGACTTTTCTGCTGAGGAGGTTACCACTGCTTTTTCCCAAGTTAATCATTCGAAAGCCCCTGGGTTTGATGGTCTTCCAGGTCAATTTTTTTGATCTTTTTGGAATATCGTTGTTTGTGATTTTGTTAATCTTTGCCTTAGCCTTTTGAATGGTACGATGGATTTCAATTATGTTAATCGTACTATTATTGTTCTTATCCCTAAGGTGTCTAGTCCGAAATTAATGAAGCAATTTAGACCGATTAGCTTATGCTCGGTCATCTACAAAGTTGTGTCAGTAGCTAAAGTAAATCATCTTAAGCCATTGATGCATGCTTGTGTTGTTGAGAACCAATGCGCTTTTGTTCCGGGCCGTTGTATTTCTGACAATTTTTTAGTAGCTCATGAACTTTTTCATTATCTTAAAGGGTCTAAAAATGGTCCTGATAAGGGCGCTGCTATTAAGTTAGATATAGAAAAGGCGTATGATAGAGTGGAATGGGATTTTTTGTTGGATGTCATGTTTCGGATGGGTTTTAGTAGTCCCTTTGTCAATCTTTTTCGTAAGTGTATTTCCAATGTCTCATTTCAAGTGCAAATTAATGGTGTGTTATCTGATTTTTTTATTCCTCAGAGGGGTCTCCGACAAGGAGATCCCTTATATCCGTATTTGTTTCTGTTTTGCACTCAGGGTCTGACTGCTTTACTTCTTAAGTCTCAAAGGAGGAATGAGATTAAGGGTATTAGAGCTAGCATGAGAGGGCCGAGGATTACTCACTTGTTTTATGCAGATGATAGTTTGTTGTTTGTGAAAAATTCAGTTGCGGAAGTGCGAAGAGTAAAGAGTATCATAGCTCAATATGAGAAGGCTTCAGGACAAAAGGTGAATTATGAGAAGTCCAACATTTATTTTAGTTCGAATACGCCTATTGTGGATAGGAGGACCTTTTTGAGTGAGCTAGGTATTTTTGAGGCCACAGATCCGGAGAATTACATGGGGCTTCCTCTGGCTATGGGGAAAGGTAAAAGAGCGTCTTTCAACTTTATCAGAGAGAAGACAGAGAAGAGGATTCAAGGGTGGACTAAGAGACTACTGTCTTTTGGAGGACGAGAAGTTTTCATCAAGTCGGTGGTTCAGGCACTTCCCGCTTATGCTATGATATGCTATCTTCTACCGGAGGGGGTTATTGATGACATTAAGTCACAAGCTAGATCCTATTGGTGGTCCGGGAAACAAAACTCTAGAGGATGGGCGATGGTTGTATGGGATAAGATTTGTCAGTCTAGAAAATTTAGAGGGATGGGGTTCAGGGACCTTCGATTGTTTAATGTTGCACTTCTTGGGAATCAGGTTTGGAGATTGATACAGGATGAATAGTCTTTGGTTTTCAAGGTTCTTAAAGCGAAATACTTCCCGGGCTCTTCGTTTTCTGAGACAAAACTTGGGACTAAATATTCTTATGCTTGGGCGAGTCTCATGAAGGTTAAAGAAGCTCTCAAGGATGGTTTTTTCTGGAGAGTGTGTATGGACAGCAAGGCTCATATGTTTGAGGACAATTGGGGGGACGCTAGTCCTATTCGGTGGAGAGAGAGATACATGGATCATGCAGAACAACCGGTTAGAGTTGCAGATTTTATGATTCCTGGGGGAGCTAGGTGGGATGAGCCTAAGGTGGTCGGAGTGCTTCGGACGGAGGATGCCTCGCAAGTTCTTAAGACGTTAATTGCACTGATCAGGGGGTATAGATTGTTATGGGGCCATCACAGTACGGGGTATTACTCAGCGAAGTCGAGCTATAATTGGTTGAAAATTCAAAATAGCCCGGCTATGGTTGCGGTTGGTATTTGGAACGCTGTGACTAAAGCAAAGGTTCTCCCAAAAATTAGAATTTTTGGATGGCGTATTTGTCATGATGCCATTCCCGTGGGATCTAAAATTAAACAAGCAAATCTTGGTGATGGTGTTTATCCTCTTTGTCGGTGTGAGCTGGAATCGATTATGCACGCGATTAAAGATTGCCCTAAAGTCAAGATGGTTCTTTTGATGTCGGGACTTTCCCATAAAATTGTTGATTGGAGCGTGAATTCTTCTTTCTTGTGGTTGTCTTATGCTCAGTCAAAGTTGAATTGTGAAGGCTTCGATCTTTTTTTTGCTTTGCTTTGGAATCTTTGGAATCGGCGCAACAATATGGTTCATAATGGGGAGTTACAATCGGATAGGGATATCATTATTAACTCGTCGAATTTGATTGGGGAGTACAAAACTGTTACAAATGCGTTTGGGGGTATAAGGGATGATGTTGTTCTTCGGCGACCGCGTTGTTGGATTAAGCCGGATCAGGATGAGGTGAAAATTAATGTTGATGGAGCTTATTGTAAGGAGTCTAGAGTTACGGCTGTTGGTATAGAGGCTCGGGATTCGTATGGAATGGTTATTGGGGGATTGACTAAGAAGATTGATCCTCCGTTCACGGTTAAGTCAACGAAAGCTGTTGCTTTTACGGAGGGCATTCGTTTGGCTTCTGAGAATGGGTATAACAACGTCATTATCGAATGAGATGCCATGTCGATTGTTTATAGGTTGTCAAATCAGGTTACATGAAAGATACATGATATTTCTACAATTGGATTGTTGCTCAATGGGGCTAGACAGATGTTAGTTAACCTTCTTTCGCTTAAAGTACACTATGTATGTAGGGAAGCTAATCGAGTCGCCCATGGTTTTGTTCAATGGACCTTATCGAACAACAATCCAGTTTGGTTCTATTTAGATGAACCTGATTGTATTAAGCAAGCTGTAATTGAAGATGTTATTGAAATATAAGGGTTTATTCTTTCAAAAAAAAAAGAATGTTTTTTTTTTGGTGAATCATGAATGTTTAATTTAATCCACACGACATCGTTCTTGTGGAAAACCAGGGAGTTTAATAGAATCAGATCCAACATTCTGAAACACTTTATACTCACACCTATGAATTCTACCCGTCAGATTAATCATTTGAACATGAACCGTCGGATCCCAATCTCACACAAATCTCCACCATCCAATTGAGTAAAAAAGAAATTGAAGTTTCAAAAACTTAGCAAGAGAGAGGGAGGAGAAACGGAAGAAGAGAAGCAGAAACAGCAAACCAAACACATTTTTTTAAGAAAAAAGTTCCTTTCACACCTTTGCTTCTCTTTTTCCCCTATTCAAAAATCACTGCTTTACAAAACCTTACTCTTACTGTTGCTCCCTGTAGTGTTCTTTAGATTCTACCTCTCTCTATGCATCGATCGGATTCTGAATCTTCTCGGTGTTTCGGAAGTTCGTGGTGTTAATCTCGAGCTTGGGGGAATCGCGGTTATTTTAGTAATTTGAGGGTTTTGAGATTGTAGATTGGATTAGAACCTACAAGTGTGTGAATTTTAGTTGATTTAAGGTAATTTCTGAGATTATTTGGTGGGTTTTTTAGCTGTGGCTGTGTGGTGAATATTTTTTGATATATATATTTTGAAATTTAAGGGGGGTGGAATTGGATGGAGGAAGAAGAAGGAGGTGAAATCCCGCCAAAAAATGTGCAATTGGATACGGCGAATTTTCCTGCGAAGAAGCTAGCAAGGCAGCTCGATTTCACGGCCGGTTTTGGCGGGGTTTCTTCTGCAGGTGTTAATTTTCCGGAACATCCGCAATCCACACAAAGGATATGTGTGCCTTCGTCTTCGGCTCCAGTTACCGTGCAGCAGCAGCAACAGATAAAGCCGCCACCGGTGGCGACCACCCCTGTAGTCGCTGCGCAACCTTCTCCTTTTACTACTGCCTCGGCCAGAGCTGTGTAAGCTTTTCCGATAAAAAAATTGTGCTTCTCTTTTAGTTTGTTGTAATTATCATTACTTTTTTGGTGCTCTCTATTTGGATTCGTCCGTGTTGAACAAAATTTAAGTTCATGTTTCTTTTCCTTTTCGAGAGTGTAGCTAGTAAGGAACTATTGGTTACAGTATCCCCACATTTCCTGCCCTGTTTGACATTTTATTTTCGTATGCGTCAACACTAATTTTATTGTATCAGTTATGTTTGCATCAAATCCTGTTTTCCCCCTCTCTAGGAAATATGACTTTAGGAAATTCCTAGTTATTTTTGCTTTAACAGAATAGTGGAGTTTCCTTTGGGAAGTGGCAATTTGGAGGTTATTTGGTGCTTTGTATCAGTCTCTCCTTTAAATTAATTTCTTTTTCCCTTTGATTTCTTCAGCAAACGTTGTTTTTGAATTAAGATATGAATCAATTGACTTTTTGGGAAATTGGTTTTCTCCAAGCTTTATCTTTCACCTTATATTGCTTCTGTAGAGGGTTTCTTTTGATAGGGTGACAAAATTGTGCAAACTAGTAATATAAAATGTGGGGAGAGATGTTGGAGAGGAAGATTGAAGTAGATTTTGAAGAACAAATGCCGGCAATTAAGGGAAAAAAAGTAGCTTGGGAAGATAAAAATATGGTGTTTAGAATGTTTTAGAGAGGAAGTTGCATTCCAAAAGGGAAAAAATAAGGTTAAGAAGGAGGCTTCTCAACAATCTCCACTCCAGAGGCA